AACTTCAATCCCTTGAAAAGGTCGCGGTAACTCTGTGACATGAAACATTTCATGTCTTCTAGAGAAGCTTGTTACAGACATTCCATTTGATGCAACATTTTTTTGTAGATCTGCAACTAATCTAGGGTGATAGACATGGCCGTCTTGCATCCATGTTTGAGTTTGTCCCCCGAGCTTCGCAAAAAGTGCCTCCAAACGAAAATTTGTAGTTTTTACCAAAACCACTACAGGTAAGTGGCCCTTTAAGGTTGAATTGATTGCCTCAACCAAGTTGGTCGTCATGTGTCCATATCGATATCCACCATCATATGCACTCGTCCATATTTCTTTATCGATGAGGCTGATGTAACCGTATCCTTCCTCATTTTTCACCCACAAATCTTGAAGCATTGATTCAAACGTTTGAGGAAGTAGTTTGTAACCTGATCAAAAAAAATGTATAACTTACTAACTTGCTTTCTTTGCAAAATTAAAATGATCGAAAGAAAAAAAACTACATCAGTTTCACTTACCCATGCGCACAATTAATTGACGCTCATTATTCTTCTTGTACCTTCCATGGTAGTTCGCAGCAATGTGTCGGAGACAATACCTATGTTGGACAAAGGGTGGTTGCCACATTGGACCCAAAGACTCCATTGCTGCTTTGATCTCAGCTCCGCAATCTGAAATGACATAGATTTTTTCCCTCGTGATAACATGTACACGTAACTTTCGGAGGAAAAAAACCCAAGAATCTATACCTTCTACTTCAACAATAGCAAAAGCAACTGGAAGAATATTGTGATTTTCATCTTGGATAACTGCTAATAATAATACATGCTTGTATTTTCCATACAAGAAAGTCTCATCGATCTGGACCATAGGCTTGCAATATTTGGCAACATTAACGCACTGTGGGTAAGTCTAAAAAACTGGTAGAATTGGCATCGATCGTGAAGAACTCGATCATTATGGTATGCATAGGAGGTTTCGAAGTCCAAAATTGTCCTAGAATTCAACCTTCGCGCCAGCCTAAACCAGCCTGGAAGTTCGTTGTAAAATGCATCTCATTCGCCATGAAGTTTGACAATGGCATTTTATTTTGTCAACCAAGATTTTTTATAGGAGACAGTGTACCCATACTGCGATTGTATAGCTAAAATCAACACAGCAGCAGCTATATGAGAGCTTGCTTTTACCATGGGCATGATGGCTTGGCATATCACTTCAGAGTCCAAGTTGATTTGGTCTTGGTTGACCCCTCCAGCACAATATGTGTGAGGACCGTTGTATACTATTAGTTCTCATCTGTTGTTTTTTCTCTTCCTCTTCGATACGCGAACCATCCAATTGCATCCGTTTTCCCGTCGGGTACAGTAGCATACATATTTTTCTGTCGTGGAGCGGTCGACTCTCGATTGAACAGAATTACGGATATTTTAATTTTTTATAGCCATCATCGCTTCTTCTTTGCTTGAAAACTTCATGCCTAAAGATAACTCACTATTATTTATTGATGAGTAATATCCATAGTTACCAATATGAGGCATATCCGCGAATTCTGGCCCATACATTACACCATAATCAGCTTCATACATGTGTGCTGGAGGGTCAGCTTATGCCACATTTGAGGGAAATTCATCTACATCATCATCAGAGTTGAATTGCGGTGATTTTGTGTGAATGAATAGTCCAGTCTCAGCACCATCCACACCAGGCTCACGAATCGGTTTTTCTGGTGGAGATGATGGTTCCTCCATACTCTCCACATTTAGGTCGAAGAACCTACTGCTTGCACGTCTTCCCCTTGAACTAGAAGGCATATCGACATTGAGATCAAAAAAGCTCACAGTGGAATGCCTCCCCCTGGAGCTTGAAGTCATCGTGTCAAATGAAAACTGCACAGATTGTTGCGTTGATGGCATCTCCATATTAAGGTCAAAGAAATTTGCAGATGAATGCCTTTCCCTTGAAATGGGCGCGATGTTGCCATATGGATTGTTCGTGGACCCACCTCGGTATATATCGTAAGGAGTTGCGGATGATTGTCTCCCGATTGAAGTTGATGTGACGGCACCATGATGCGTATTTCTCATTATGGCGTTAAAATTATTACACATTACTGTAGTCGGGTTGTCAACTTGAATAACTTGTTCAGCTAGCCCATAGTGGGAGCTTAATGACTGACCCGAACAACACACACTTGAACAAACTTTGCATACATCTCAACATCGACGTCTGAATAATTACTTTGAGAATCAACCATCATTTCAACATCATCATTGATCGATAGTTAAAACGTTGTATAAGTTAATGGCAACAATGATGTTGGAAATCTGTACTGCAACGACGACATTTTTCTACTACTTCCAACATGAACCTTCCTCGAAATCTTCGTTATCAGCTCCTCAAGAGTTATGTTTCTCTTGAATGATATTTTAACACGCTCATTTGATACGAAAACAACGTCGGTTTCATCTTCTCGAATTTCTCCATCATAATAAACAATAGCTGAAAGTCGCGCCATTCTTAGAGTTTAAAAGTGCGACAATATTATATATGCAAAAAAATAACTAAAACAAACCTTATTAAAAAAATAATATATGAAAGAAAATATAACACAATAAATTTTTTACACACGAACGTAAATAATTTAAATATTATAGTTTTATATTATTACCTACACTACAAAAATATTTCGACGTATGCTCCCGCTTTTCAATTTTACAAACACATAAATTAATTGAAAACAATTAGTATAATTTTTTTCAAATAATCATATATAATTATAAAAAATAATATAACAAAATTACCTTATAACGAAAAATCGAACGAACTTCTGAATCAAATATAAGAGAATTGTCGGGTGTAATTTACTGGTTGAAAGGATTGTTGGTGAGAGAGTTTACGGGGAGATAGCTATCTATAATCGAGAGATGATGCTTTAAAGCCGAGAAGTTCGAGTAAATTATGCAAGGCGTGGACCCTGCACCACGCCTTGTATTATGCATGTTTGATAATTAAGCATGTGATAATTGAAAAACGCGGCCCCTACACCGCGCTATAGCCCTACGTGGAGCAAGGCGCGCCCCAGGGGCCGTGCTATAACCCACGTGGCGCCAACTCAGTATAAAGAACGCTGCAGGGGCGCGCCTTACCTCACATGGTGCCAGATCAACATAAAGCGCGTTGCAGGGACACATCTTACTGCAAAGAATGTTAGATCGAAAAAAATAGTCTGAAGGGTTCCTAACAGGGAAATATAAAGTCATAGGATGATATATCGGGAAAAACACTTGTTTTTACTCTATATTTTAATGAATTTAGAGTTAAGCAGTCAAAGATATCATTGATTACATCCTCTATATAATTAAATATTTTAAAGAGAGAATGCAAGAAGTGGGTTCAGTGTTTTAAAATTTTAAAATTAAATCCAATAGAATAGAATATCGGCTTTTTTTTTTGGATAATTGAATATCGGCTTTTGTATTTATATAATATAACACAATATGGTCGTGCAATGTTGCGATACAAATTAATACAAGAGGGAACACATTGCTCCATGTTAAACCCAGTTTTCTAGAAGATGAAATATTCAAATGTTTTCCATTACCCAAAACTCAATTACTAATTATACTAAAACAACAAATACCACGGCAGAAAAGTAGAAAAGTGGAACAGTGGGCACCCCAAGTCTTTATTTAATTAGAGATTAAAATTAATTAATTAATAATATTTTTAATATTTAATTGTTTTATAATTCTTTATAACGTCAAGACGACATTTTTATAAAAAATTAAAATTAAAATTATTATTAATAATATATTATTATCTAATTTATTAATTATGCATAAATAATACTTTATCAACCCAAATAATATTTATCCTTTTGAAGGTGGATAAGAGTTCCACCGGGGTTCTAAGAAGTCAATTCCACCGATGGAGCTTCCACCACTCAGTGCAGTCAATCTGCAGCAGCGTTTTGTTCATAACGGATATGCCAAACCTTTATCGTCCATTCTCGATCCTGGAGTTTTGAGATAGCAGCAACCAAGGTGTTGTCTGCTAGAGCTTCCGATCGACGACTTGTTGCAGATCTTAGCAGCTTCAAAGTTATCAGTTTCCAATTCGACATGCCGAAATCCTAACCTTCAAGCATGAGATAGGATATCGTGAATAACCCATAGCTCCGCAACAAGAATTGAGCATTTCGCCATTTCCCCAAACTCCAAGTGAATCCGAAAATTCATTCACTCTCCGAATTACGTAATAAACCACCGACAGAAGCCATGCAATCATTTGTTCTCACTGCGCCATCCGAGTTCGCCTTTATCCAACCATTATCGGGTCGCCTCCACACCAAAAGAGCAGCAGGCGGAGCTTGTTTCGGATCTGATGCATACGCGTTTGCAGTAGCAAACTGATCTTCTACCAGCCGCATACAACGCAAGACAAAATCCTTTTTTTGCACAAAATCAGGATCAAATAGCAAGCTACATCTATATTTTCCAAAGCTGCCAGCAAATAGTCGCAAAGAGAACTGTCCAGTTACTGTTCACATAGGAAACCATACCTGAATTTTTTGAGGTAAGATTCTGCATGAACCAGACCCCATAAGGCGAGGAGAGAAAATCAATCAACTTATCAGCCGGACCACCCTTGTCCAGACAGATTCGACCATTCTACAATGACGCAAGACATGATCAACATCCTCCGAGCCTCGGCTACAGATTTGACAACCATCCATGGTCGACAAGTGGCGCCTGAATCTTTCAACATTTCTGAGCAAACGTTCATGGACTGCTAACCATAAGAAGGTTCTCACCCTTTGTGGAACCTCAAGTTTCCAAATTATTTTCCAATTTATCCTCGATTCCTCATGCTGGAAGAAGGATTTATAAGCTGACTTGGTTATGAACTGTTTATCGAATTCCCAACGCCAACCAGGTACATCGTTTCCCAAGTGCACTTGAGGAGGTTTCACCGCCGCAATACGCTGAATAATATGCTCAGGAAGCATGGTCGATAACCTTCCCCAGTCCCAGCCGCCAAAGGGAAGCACCATCTCACAAACAGCAGTTGGATTCGGTGAACCGATTCCTTTATAGGCAAAGACAAACCGATTTTCAGCTTCCAACCAAGGATCAAACCAAAAAAGTTTCAATATCTTTAATTAATTTTAATTTTTTTTCTTAACTACTTTTTTGCATAATTATGTTTAAAAATAAAATAGAATCGTTTAATTAAGTTATTAAAATTAATTAATAATTTCAATGTCTATATTTTCATAATATTTACATTACATAAAATTTATATAAAAATATTTTTAAAAATAATAATAACTACGAAATGATACACTAAAATGCATCACTATTCGAATGTGTACCGAAAAATCAATATGATACAATTCTAACTACCTTAGTTACTTTAGTGGAACAAATTAATATTTTGCTAATAATAAATGTTAAAATATTACTAAAGGTAGACTCGTAAAGCGAACTCGGTGATAAAAATAAATGTTGTTTTAAAAAAATTAGATTCGAGTAGCTATTTATGTAGAATTGATTGAACCATCGAAATAATAAAGATTATATAAAAAAATATAAAAATGCATTATTTATAGTCTTTATGAAAGTGAGATCTTATATTTTTTTTAACTGAATTGATGTTGAGTTAATTAAGGACATAAAATCAATCAATGACATAATATATAATATATACATTAAAATTGAAATTAAATTATGGGTTAGTGGCACGAACTAAGAATTTTGGTAATAAATGAATTATTTTTATTTTTTAAGGTCTCGATTCGAACACCATAAATATCAGGAGTGTAAACGTTCGATGTCAAATGATTAAGAGTTTTCTTTGAACATATATTACCTTGTACTTACTTGATATTAATAAAAATATTTTGGGTTGGTGTGTTGATTTATTACTTTCTAGATTAATATATTCTTATAAAAAAATAATGTTAATTTTTTTCTCTTCAAATTTTATGACTTCGTCTTGATTAATTCAAACAGACCCATGTCACACACTTGGCTTTTGGTGGGTGAGTTTCCTAGAGAAAATTTTTTACATACACGACGGATCAAACTTAAGACCTACTTAATTGATATCAAACTGATTACTATTTGAACTAACCTACTTGATAACACCATGCTAACTTGTTAAACGTTGTTAAACTAAATATTTAAAAATTAAGCAAGTATGTAAAGGACTAAGAAACAAACAATCCGAAGTTCAACACATCAGTAAAGAGATAAAATAAAAATAAGAGGCGAAAACGGAAAACAAAAAATAATTACAGGGCTACCCACACAATATTCCCATGATCTTGCCCACTATACCACATTCGAAAAAAATCGAACGTTGGGGCCCGTTCTCAGACAACAACGGTTGCCATTCAAAAACCTTAAACTAGATAACTCCCTCCCTCTCTCTCTCTCTCCTTGAAAAGAACAGAGCAAGACATCTGAAAAAGAAAGAATTTTCCTCCCTGAAAAAGATGGGTTGTGTTTCTTCAAAACACTTTAAAGAAAGAGCTCCAACGAGAAATTCTTCTCAACAATGGCGGCGACTACGCCGACCACGTTGTTTCTCTCAAGTCGAGCACTTACGGGGTCCTTAAACTCGACGACAATGAACTGCAACATCAAATAGAAGAAGATGGTGTTCCAGAGACTGATAGTGTTAAGAGATCGCCTCCTCGTCAAGAACCAGAGGTAATCAATGCCTGGGAACTCATGGAAGATCTAGATGAAGATAAGTTTTTCAAAAGGAGTCCGAAATCGCGTGTTTTCGTTAAGGAAAAAGGTGTAAGAAGTCCACTGAAGTTCTTGAATCAGATCGGTTCTCCATTGAAAGTGAAGAAGTATGGCGGGAAAGAGAACAAAGGAAGCCCGAAATCGATACCGGGAGTGAATAATCCCATGGATAGTTCGTGTAAAGCATGCGCAGTGTTGAAGTTGAGTTATCCAGTGAAAAGCACCATAAATGAAGGGCTTGAAGGTGGTGACTTGGGGTTTTCGTCAAGAAGAGGTGGTTTTAGTCCCTTGTTTGATCCGGAGCTTGTCTCTTTGTACGAGAAAGAGTTGTCAGAAGAAGAGGAACAAATCAAGATGATAAGTTCACCCGAATCCGAATCCCAAAAATCGAAAAAATCTCAGGACTCAAAGGCCTTTCTTCAAGATTTCGAGCCGAAATGCCCAGCAGGTGGAGAAAACGCAGTTGTAGTCTACACTACAACGTTGAGAGGGATTAGAAAGACCTTTGAGGAATGCAACACGGTGAGATCCATCATCAAATCGTACTGTATCCAAATATCCGAGCGTGATATATCGATGGATTCCGGGTTTAAGGAAGAGTTAAGGAAGCTAACAGGCACAAAAGAAGTGAAAGTTCCACTGGTATTTGCGAAAGGAAGGTTTATTGGGGGAGTAGAAGGGGAAGGGAAACTTGAAATGTTGTTCGAAGGGATCCCCATGGCGGTTCCCGGGTGTAAAGGCTGTGGTGGGGTGAGATTTGTGATGTGCAAACAATGCAATGGGAGCTGCAAAGTTTTAGATAAGGAACTGAAGAAGAAGATACGGTGTGGTGAGTGCAACGAAATTGGATTGATTCAATGCCCCATTTGTTGTTGTGGATAAACCCTCTTTGATTCATTTTGGATTTTTGGGATTTCCACTAGGTATTGTATTTGGTCTGATCCCAAGCCTGTAACAATGACATCTTGAAGAACCATTTTTGTTTTTCTTTTCTGATTTGGGGATCTAAAGTGGGCTTTAGGCCTTGTTTGATAATGTTTGATTGTAAAAAGAATGGTTGTTTATTGGATGATATGGCCTTAGTGAGCGTTGGCTGAGTTTCAGATTCATGGTTTGTTCACTTTCTTGTGTCAATTCCTTGTCCTCTTCTCCTTGATTCAAATTATTTGTATGCTTTACACACAAACCCTGCATGACATTGAGAGGACTTTGTCATTTGCAGCTCTACTTACAGAATAATTTCATCTCTTGGCAACCTAAAACATGAACAAAAAAGTTCAAAATTTCAGCACAAATGTGAGAGCTTGAAATACCAGATAGCATCCATGGAAATCAACGAATCAGCAGAAACAAGGGAAGGAATCGTTACATTGGAGAAGGAAGCTGCAAGGGAACCAAAGGACGCAAAGCAGAAGAAAAATTCCTCCAAAAGCATCGTATACTCATCTCCAACTGCGCTTGCTATGAAACGAGTATTTGTAATCGCCTAATCGGAACTTAAATCTTGAGAATTAAACCAATTAAATACTTTCCATCTAGACTAGAACAGCAGAAGTTTGGGTTTTCGGCTTTTGCAATGAAATAGAATGACTAGCAGGTGGGCTGGACTAGCTTCGCTCTTCCTCTTTCGGGCTTACTGTTGTTTATGCTTTTAGACAGGCTCTTTCTTAACTAGAATTATGAAACATCTATCATTTTTTTAGTTTAAAAAGTTGAAAATTGGCTGAAATATATATATATATATATATATATATATATATTATTAGCTTTAGAAAGAGTGACAATGAGTAGTATGAATAATAGAAAATGTTTGAATGAGCTGAGGAAATGTTAAGTCAGTGTGAAGCATTGAAAGGTGAAAGAATCTCCACTCAAAATCACACGAGCATAAATTCATAAACAATATTTCCAAAGGAAAGAAACCATAACACAACATACTACCCACTGTTACCAGTTGGCATTTCCCACCTCATCTGACTACACAATGTTAGCAGCATTTAAAGGTAATTCACCTCCAAGCTTCGAAAAGCTCGGCTCTCGCATTCATCAGCCCCGCTATCCTTGTTCCCTTATTCTTCTGGACAACTCCTGCTGCATTACCCATAGATTGTTCAATTGACTTCTTTGTTCCCTTCTTTAGACTCGAAGCACTCAATTGATCAGTTCTTCTCTTTCCGTATGTACTTTGGAGGCCTCCTTTTTCGAGTCCATTCACTAAAGAAATCACTTGAGACACTAAAGTGCAGGGGCAGTTATCGAGTAGGGATCGGTTTCCAGCACAAATGTTCTCGATTGAAGTTAGGAAACCTTGAGAGCTACTTTCGGTTGTCAAATTCTCTTTAGCAGAGTGAGGGGGGCTCTCTACGGCGGGTTCTTCAGCAACAAAAGCTTTCTCTCCTTCGCTTTCATTTTAACCTCCACATTGGCATCTTTGAGTAATTGCGAAGAGCTTTGCTGACCATTCTTATCAGACGGCTCTAAGTGAGAACCGGGATTAGAGTCTATCATAGAATCTTCTCTTTCTTTAAGTGTTCTAATAATAAGTGTCTTCAGAAGATTCATCACCTGGACTGCATGCATCAATGCAGTTAAAGGATCCGACATCTGCAATAAACAGCAGTAGTTAATATCCATATCGAGTACATAATATCCAACACTAACCTATGAGTATCAACTATCAAGTAACATAGCTTTAAGGTGCCCCAGAAAATAGTGTTTTCATGACTGGAATGAACTGTGAATCTTTTCCAAGGACCTCTACCTTTCCTAGGTTTTGAAAATACGGCTTTTAGTGCAAACTCAAGTTTAAGGGATGCATCTATTTTGACAACCAGTGTTGAACTAGCTCAAATCTCAGTAACCAATAATTTTGCATTAAGTCTGAGATTGAAATGTGTATTTAAATTGAAACTACCAAAAGATATTTACTCACTTGAGTCATGTTTGGAGCAAACACCATCGCAACATTACGTGCATTCATCTTGTTCACCCGTTCCACTTGCACAACATCAGCCATTAAATTTATTGCCCAATCCAGTAGAGCAGCTTCGGTTGGAGGAAGGAGCCTTACAAGCCGAGCACACTCTTCTTCTGACTGGGCTTGCATTACCTCTTCCGGAGGAAGAGAATCCAAAACACCACTAGGAAGTTCCCTAAACCAAGCCTGCAAAATCATAAACACCACAACCGAATTGAAAAGTTCATTCAACTGGGGAAGATCTCACCATTATTTGAGATATCTTGGCAGCATTTTGAGCCCACGAATCAATCCTTTCAATAGTATATTCAAACTACTCCTATCAACTCAATATACACACGAGAAACATGTTCAAACTACTCAAATACGACCGAAGATATTGAAGAGCAAAGAAAATACCTTTATAAGACCAGCCAAGCAATGTACATCTATCCCATCTGGTATAACTCCCCTGTTTAGCTGTTCCCTGACATACTCTTCATGACTGTTCTCAGCATTAATTCTGAAAATTCCTTCTGCCTAAATAAATATATATATATATATATAAGAAGTTAATTACTAAACCGGATACTTCAAGCAACTATATAGCCATAGAACAAAGTAGAGAAAAGATAGATGGTCATATACCTGGAGGCCTCCTCGGGCATATAAATGACTTTGCATCAGGAGTAGTATCGTTGGCACACTATTCCCTCTAGAGTCCAGCGAGAGCTGCATAGATTCAGTCGAAACTCCAAACACGCTCGCGCTGCACAAGAATGGTACCTTAGTTAACAAAATAAAACTGGCACAGACATGCGCAGTGGATATCGTAAAGACCTTGACAACTCTATTATCATTTGCCACCAAAAAGAAGTTTTCATTTCAATTTCCACACATTCATTGAAATTAATTGGATTCAAGTATGGAATTTAAGTTTGATCTTTGATCTGAGCACTGCAAACAATGAAACAAACATAGAATAGATATAACTCCATGGCGACCTTAATTACTATAGAATTCTATAAATGAATCAAGGCTTTCTAACTCAAAGAAACTGGTCATCATCTGAAGCTCCTAAAATGGGTGGATTTTTACAACTGTAGTTTAAAGAAATCAATAGAAAGAGGGAATTCACAAAAAAAAAAAAAGAATCTTGAGAAAAATATCTGCAGTTACTAAAACAAGCAAACCCCAGAAAAATGATTCAAAAACTACCCCTTTGACAATCATGAAAGATGCCCATATGAGAATTTCAATCAATACAGAAAACAAATAAAAAATATGCATCGATAAACTTGCCTGGCACTCGGGGCTCTTCTGGGGACCTCGGGCTCAAATTCAACCGGCAAACCAAGAAATCCATGGAACCTATCAAAAGTCACATGAGCAACATGTCTGACATTGGTAGGTAATCCGATTTCCATTGAACAGAGCTCTTTATTTCCAGAAAGGCTGCACCCAATCAACGACTTCCTAAAAGCAGCCACCAAAAGCGTTAATAAAGACAGCTGATCCCCTTCCCCTTCTCTGTCCCTTTCTTTCCTCTCTTCCTCTTCCCTATTCTCTTCTTCTTGATCCCTCTCTTGGGCTATTATATTCTCCACGGTGCTTACATTAGAGTTTGTAAGGGCATGTGGAGTTGAGGTGGAGCTTGAAAATGAAGGGAAGTGAGATGGGGATGATTGGAGTATTTCAGTCATTATGTTCTTTTTTCCCTTTATTGGAGTAAACAAAATTAGAGCCAAGAAACCAAAAATAAATGGGTTTCTTTGGAAGAAGGGGAAATCAAGATTTGGTGTCTATGTAGAGTTGGATTGAAGCAAAGATTTTGGATGGTAGGAAGCAACTATCATCACTTTTTAAGGGTTTTTTTGCCCTTTTTTTATACAATTTCCTTAGCTGGCTTTGGAGGGTGAAGAAGCAAAGTGTAAAGATTGAAAATTTAGGGAAAGGGAGAGAAGTGATGGTGGATGGAGGAGATGAAGAGACTGACAGAGGATACCGTCTTCTCTACAGTGAATCAGGCGTTGCCATCTAAGCATCTAATAAAGGAATTCCTTTTAATGGGTTATGTATGTTGGGATTAAAGCATGTATGTCATGATATGATAATGACATGCATACTTCAGTTTCATAGTTTTTATTCCTTTTCACTTCTAATCCCAAGTTCCCCCACATAATTTTACATGAAAGAAAATCCGTCTTAACATAAACCCAAGTTTAAATGGATCATGTCAGAACCTGGCAAAATATCCATAAGCTTCAACAAAATTTGTCCCCTTTCACTTTGCTTTTCTGCTTTACCATTCGAAGGATGAAGATTTGCCTATTTGCATGTTCAACATTTGTTTTTGGCTTAATATAAAAATAAGTATTCAAATTATATCGTTTTTATTAAAGTAGTATCTAAATTTTTTTTTTTTATTAATTCAAATGTTTAACGATACAAATATTATCACTTTAGTTGATTTAACAGTAATTAACGTTAAAATATTCTTTTAAGTGGTACATGTCATATTTATATAATTTTGAAAATTGTTATTAATTTTTTTTATAAAAAAATATTTTTATTTTAAAACCCCAAAATTTTCAAAAATCTTTTAAAAAAATTAAAAACTTTGAAAACTCTAATTTTAATCCTATATCAATGTCGGTCGCCGCCGTTGCCATCGACCAAGCTTACCCTCGAGCGTGCCTCCACCCGACAATCAGTTACCCAATGATCAACCACCCGAAAACCCCACCCGACGATAAAATCGACAGTAAACTCGACAAACCAAACTATTGGAATTCGCGACACATGACGATTCCAATGGTCATATCAACTGCAGGACTGTAAACGACAAATAAGGAAAATGACAAGTGTGGCATCGACAACCATGGTCGACAAGAGAGGTAAGGTTAGGGTTAGAGTTGGGGATTTGAGATTTGAGATTTTTAGGGATTTGAGATTTTTTTTAATTTTAGAAAAAAAAGAATTTTTTATAAATATAATAATATTTTATGTTTTTATTTAAAAAAATTCAAAAATCGACATGGGTCATTTAACAGATTTTTTGGATGGTCGTTATGGCCGAAATACCTAAAGTGATGATGTTTATAACGTTAAATACTTAGATTTACTAAAAAAAAAACTAGATACCACTATAAAAATAAGCGGTCCCGCTTATTTTTATATTAATCCTTTGGTTTTTAAGAATAGTGCATGCAGAATTCTCCAATCTCCCTCCATAGTCTTACTCCTTTCTCTTGATTATTCAACTAAATTCTCGTTAACAATACAATCAATGAGTTAACAGAAGAAACAAAACAAGGAAAAGTGCTGTCCAAGTGAATTAAGCTGCCATTGAAATCATATCCTTGAAATCTTTTTAAAATTGCACCAAACATGTGCCAACAACTTTCCGCATAAAATTTTGCCAATCGGCAACTGATGGCTGTTGGGTGAGTTGTGCAACTGGATCATATCATTCATAAAACCCATTTTTTTTCTCATAACTGTCTGCCCTTCAAACCAGGAAAATGTTAATGTCATTATATTCAATATCATGATTAGGTAATTAATATTTAAGAACAGCCAGCCCCCTTTGAAAAGGGTAGCTTGATTCTGCAACGGGTACTTGTGGCCTCCCTGGTCTGGCTTTTCGAGGAACAGCCTAAAGAACAAAGGAAAAACAAAAGTGAAAGTGAAGGAGCTGTTGTCTACGACTACTCGTTAAGCTTCAAGCAAAAAGAGACTTTTAATCCCAACAATGCCCGTTGTAAAATGCAAACTCTACCGTATAATTACTTTTCCCTTTTACCTCTCTAAGCTCCACTGTTTCAAATTTGAAACCAAACTTCGCGGCTATACTTCATAACTTTATACATTGGTTTCGTACATAGACAGAGAGATGGCAGGGCAGCCTTTGCCCTTTTGGCCTTTTTTCCCTAAGTGATCGGTATTCGTTGGAATTGCAGAATCATGGTTGTTAAAAGTTCCAACCTACACGCATAGCATAGGGAAACGAAAGGGTTAAAAGATTAGCTTTCTCTATCCCTAAGCTTTCGTTTATCGAAAAGGAAACCTTGTTTGTATCTTACTTTTGTTGTTTCTGAATAATATAGTAAGTTGGGAGGATTACTAAGTCAATGGCCAAAACCAACGGCTCAAAACGAATCTGGTTCGACTTTTAGAGATACCCAAAAACACTTTGCAATAAGTGCATGCCGTAGGAACAAATAGACCTGGACTTACTTTCCAGGAAGCAACGGGTATAAACTCCAGTTTTACAAGTGATTCAAGCTGCTAAAGTTTTTTATTGAGGAAGCGAATCATTAAAGCGCGAGACCAGATAAAAGCTTTATCTAATGAAGCAGAACCAGTTTTACTCAAAGACTGCATTGTTATATCAATGTTGAGAACCAAATTTTTAAAATCAAAACAAAATTTAAAAGTTAATAACTAAATTTATTGTTATATCAATTTTATTAACAATCAAATCATTCTCATCAATCATTTCCATCAATTTTTAATGAAGAAACAACTAGACTTTTTTTTAAAGTGTCTTATGATCATCTGTTACTTTTCAAAGACGATGATCATTTCATAATAATGGGACTCAACAGAATATATCCTATAATCATGGGACTACTTGAGAATTTACCATCACAAGTATCGGTGTAACCGTTCTTTACATTCATTTAAATCCGTTTGAAATGCAGAAAGGGCAATCCATCAGGTGAAGTTTGGAAATGAAACGCAGAATCCATGGAGATCCATCTAAATTCCTACGAATTTTCAATTACATAACACATTGCCAATCCCAAACTAGAAGACTAGGGAAGAGATAAGTCAAACTGATATTCAATGGAAAAACCAGAATCACTGCATTCTGCCGACAGGTTCAAGGGCTTCAACAGTAACCACGCTATTTCCTCTTATCACCTGCAGTGGATTCAAATCAGCTAACAAATTCAAGTATACAGCCATATGAACAAGGTACTTAAAAGAAAGAAAGAGTTATTATGATGCTCACCACCATGCCAATGTCAGTTTTCTCATTGCCATTCACATGCACAGTGTTGTCAACCACAAGATTCATAAACTGATCAAACCCACGAAGTGTACCAACAACCATCCTATTTGCATTCAGCTTGACTGCACAGTTCACACACCAACAAAATTCAAACTATTACCATCGCTTCCTTTCATAAACATCTGCAATCCCATAAGCCACATGCATATATAGTACAAGGCTTTCCCCTCCATGTCTCTTATTTCACATTTTTCAGCTTTAGAAAAGATGCAACTTACCAGACCAATTAACAGCAGCAACCCAAGCATTAGCTAAGGCAATGAATATCCATGAAAATCTAAAAAATCCAACACATACAAAAGACGCTTACTTAAATCACATTTCAGGTGCAGAAAATTAACAGAGGACACAAGCTTTACTGTTACAATTGAATATCCATCGACAGTTAAAAACCTTCAGCTTCAGAGATACAAATACTGATCTTAGCTCAAATAGGAATCTATAACCATGCACGAGATCTTAACTAACCTAATTTCGGCTAAAGCAATTGACGACCAAATAAAACAAGAAACAACAAAGAATATAAACTACGTTTACATGAAAACTGGAAGAAAAAAAAGAGCAAAGAAGAAGAAAAGAAACTAACTTTGGAGTTTCTTGTCCATGTACCTGTTGTGATAAGAAAACAACACCAATAGAAGAAATTAGAAATTAGAAATTATTCGAGCGAAATGAAAGAAAAAGAAGATGAAATGAAATGAGTGAGGAAAGTATAGAACATGCTTTTTGAGATCTGGAGGCTGGCCTGATCTGCTCATTGTGAGGGAAGCTTGTTGTATTGGGGATGGGGAGTGCAAGCACGAGAGACAAAAGGAGGGGAGTAGGGTTTTGGGGAAGAAAGCCGTGAAGCGTAGAATTAAAAGTAAGTGGAGTAGCAAGGATTGTAGAGGGCCTGATCTGTATCAAGATACGGCCCAACTATGGTGAAAAATTAAAGTGGGATTCAAAACTTAAAAAAAAAAACAAATGGGGTGCTCCGAGAATCGAACTCGGGACCTCTCGCACCCGAAGCGAGAATCATACCACTAGATCAAGCACCCTTTGATAATGGCACAACAAATGGGGTGCTCCGAGAATCGAACTCGGGACCTCTCGCACCCGAAGCGAGAATCATACCACTAGACCAAGCACCCTTTGATAATGGCACCTGGATTATATTTTATATTATCTATAATACTTTCTGCCAAATACAACATGTTTAATTATAATGCGTTTCTTTTAATTTATTTGAATATGGCTGATCATTTTTACTGCTAAACCTCATTCATATCCCATTTTTCTTTTTCTAAGTGTTCAGAGATCGAATTTAGAAACTAAGATATTTCTTATCAATAAAAAATAAAAAGAAAAGAATATATTATTGAGTAATGTTAAATAACATGTTATTTAATCCAAAATTAACCCTTATTTTTTTTTCTAAATTTTATATAAATTATGTAATGTTATATAATATAAAATAAAAAATTAAAATAAGATAAATACAATAAATAAAAATAATTATATTATTAAGTAAAAAATAAATGTTAATATTAAATAAAAATATATATATCATTGGTGTTTGAGCTTATAAATGATCTTTGGTTCAATAATATAGAAAGTATGTGTTTGAGCTTATATATTGTATCTTTCATATCCGTGGACCGTGGAGAGGATGAATAAAGATTTGAAGTGTCAACATGTTCTCTTCAAGATGTTGTTGAAGAGAAGTCATACAAATAATATAGTTTTGAACAAAGGGATAAACTAGTTGTTCCATGCAGTACCGTGACGTTCCGAGTAGTTGTCTATGTTGTAGAATGTTTGATGGGAAGTTTGATTCTGGAGAACTAGTTGAGGAGTTTCTTTAAACAAAAGTAGCTTCCTTCCTAGGCTCATATGCTTGGAGTTTATGGGTCCATGGATGTATTAGACTTGTAGTTTTCTCTTGTATCGTTCACATGTAGCTTCCTTCCTAGCCTCACATGCTTGGCGTTGGTTTGGCTCTGAGCCTGCATGCCTATGACTTCGTTTACCTGGAAGCCTCAAGAAGTGGTGCTAAATGTAAGTTAAAAGAAGCCCAAAATATGAGAATTGACAATTTCATAGCTTATTCAATCGCCATTTGTAATGATACAACTCGTAAAGAAATTGTTCATGGAGCCAACATTGTTCAGTGATGGAAAAACAAATCTAGCTATTGCTCTGCACACTGCTACTAGTCTACTACCATTCGCGAGAATTCTTTTCATCGACTCTATCAGTTCTTGTATTTGCTCTCTTGAATGCAGTGGCGCAGGATACACACATGTGCAATCCAAACATCCATCTCGAATGGTGTCAAATATGGCAATGGTTGGACCAATGCCGTGAACCGAAGAACACCCCACATAGTCGACTAGGCCGAATTCTTGGTGCAGTTTGTTGGATTCATCAATCACAGGGTCTTCGAAAATTGAGATGAAGGCAGTTATCATAGATGATGATGGAGTCAATCCTGGGTTGTCAATGGCCTTACAAATGAGGAAGTTTAGGTCATTCATATCAGTGAAATGCTTGTTGTTGTTTTTGGCATTGGAAAAGGACGTATAACATCTGTTTGCTAACTCCCATACATCGTCACCGGCGGTCACATCATGCGTACTCAAGATTGTAGAATGGTAAAATCCTAATACAAGATGATAAAAAGAATATGATTATGCCATCATATGCAACTTTTACCTTAAATCAAGGGTCCAAGACACAAGTTGCAAGTAAATCTAGCATATAATTTGGCCTCAAGAACAAGTACGTACCGAAATGATTGCTACCGAGTGCTGGCTCAAGAATGGATCGACAGTCGGTGAGGGTTACAACGGCGTATTTTTCCCTTTGATGACCAGGGAAAGGTTTGGTGGAACGAGCTGCAATCAAACCAGCAGCTGCCAGGGCTCCACAGAGTTTAATACCCCTTGATTCGCAACCCTATAAGTTGTATATAATGCAGCTTCAAACCTCAAAACAATTTAATGCATAAACCGTGATTTTTCTTTTCAAACTAAAGAATGATCGCATGTTCAACAAAGATAGATATATCAGTGATTTGTTGATGAATTATTGCAGGCATAATGTTTGGAACAGAGACATTCTTGAGAGTTCTTTTTATTTAATTTTACCTTAAATATTGTACTAAATTAAAACGAGAATAAAAACAATTTGTGACTTACAGCAACAAGCCTGTCGGTGTCATCTTGGTTCATCCTCAACCTCACAACCTGAGAATGTCGAGCCGAATCAGCATCAATGATCGGCAGCCTGAAAGAGTTCAAGGAGTAGCCAAGCAAATCAACCCCACGCACCCAAAGGGACTTGATAGCTTTGCCACTAGGAATCAAATCTTCAATCCCCACTTGTTTCTCTTCATTTCCCGTCTCTATCTCCTCCCCCTCCGTCCTGATTCTCCCAACACCCATCATCTCCAACAATTCCCTCAACAGACCCACCGCCGCAGCGCGGTCACAAGCCGACGTGTGCAGCCAGAACACCAACAACCACCTCGTCTCGCTTATAGTGTAAAGGCTGACGAAAAAAATCCCTGTCGGCTTGGTCACCGTCATCATCATCATCGTTACGTGTCCATGAGTTTTTATTCAGCTCATGCTCGAGTAAAATGTGGCTTGGGTCGATGTGGGAATCATCTGAGAAGCTTTGGAGAATGTGAGAAGTTTTTTTTTTTTTTTTGAAGTGGAAAATCATTATATTCCAATAGCGTCATCAATTACAACTTGTTTAATTCATTCAGGTTCATCAAAGTAAAATCAAATTAGATTGATGTTCGATAAAGCCCAATGCGCAAGGGAGTGAGCAGCTCGATTAGCGTCCCTACAGACATAATGAACTTTAAAGGTAGGAAACCTAACCAACATTTGACAAGCTTCATTGAGCAGCAATCCAATCGTAGATAAATCCTGAATCTTCCCCGTCATCTTGTTAGCCAATCTGTTGACAATTGAAATAGCATCGCCTTCAATAACAACTATATTCCACCCATTCTCGGACGCCAATCTAATACCTTCCGTAAAAGCAGCAACTTCCGCAGACTCAGCCGAAAACGGAGGATTAATCTTCTTAGCGAGACCCGCAATCACCATACCATGCGAATCCCTAGCCACAACCCCAATTGCCGCGATCCTAGATTCCTTGCAAAATGCCCCATCCACATTGATTTTAACTTCTTCCTGACCCGGCTTTAACCAAACCCGATGACGACAAATAACTCCATCATCCCTAGCAACCGCACCAACCTTAGACACTTTATGAAACTCCCCAATCAAACTCGAGGAACTAATAATAATGTCCCTGTCCGATTACATCTCCCCATTATCCACCAAGTTATTACGCTGATTCCAAATATTCCATAATAACGCCAGGAAAAGGTCAAAACCTTCATTAAATAATTTGGAACGAGCAAAGACCAACCATGAAAGGGGGAAGACCCACTCCAATCAGCAATCACCTGAGAAAGCCCGGATAACACCAGAACCGACTTAACTTTGGGATAATCTTTAATGGCATGCATAATGGTTTCCAATTCCTGATTACACAGCGGGCAAACCCCATTTCCAATATTAGCTTGGACCAATTTAGCACCAACAGGGATAACATCATGACAAATACGCCATCCAAAGATTCTAATCTTTGGAAGAACCCGAGCTCTTGCAACTCTGTTCCAAATACCATCCACCACCAAGGTCGGACTATTTCGGAGCATCAACCAATTATAACCCGATTTAGCGGAATAGGACCCCGAACCATGATGTTTCCACAGCATTCTATCCCCTCTGATTGGGGCAATTAACGTCTTGAGAACTCTCTCAGCATCTTCCATCCGGAGCACTCCAAGCACCTTATCCTCATCCCACCTAGCACACCCAGGAATCATAAAATCCGCCACCCGAACCGGTCGAATAGCAGTATCCACATATCTTTCACCCCATTCGATAGGACAAGCATCCCCCCACTTCTCCTCAAACATGCGGATCCCACTATCAATACCCACTCTCCAGAAAAAACCGTCATTGAGTTCTTCTTTTGCCTTCATAAGACTGGCCCAAGCATAAGAAAAAATTAGCCCCAAGCCTTGCCTCAAAAAACGATGAATTCGGGAAGTATTTTGCTTTAATGACCTTAAACGCCAACGAGTTCTCATCTTGAATAAATCTCCAAATCTGGTTCCCAATCAACGCCACATTAAACATTCTAAGATCCCTAAACCCCATCCCACCAAATTTCTTAGCCTGACAAATTCTATCCCACGCCACCATAGCCCATCCTCTAGAATTTTGTTTTCCAGACCACCAAAAAGACCTAGCTTGAGATTTAATGTCCTCAAGAACCCCATCCGGGATCAAATAGCAAGACATAGCATAAGCAGGAAGAGCCTGGACCACCGACTTAATGAAAACCTCCTGTCCTCCAAATGACAACAATCTCTTCGTCCACCCCTGAATCCTTTTTTCCGTTCTGTCTTTGATGAAATTAAAAGCCGCCCTTTTACCTTTCCCCACAACCAACGGAAGTCCAAGATAACTCCCCGGCTCTGAGGCCTCAGCAACACCGAGCTCTCTCAAAAAGGATCCCCTATCCACAGACGGGGTATTAGGGCTGAAGTAGATACTGGATTTCTCATAATTCACCTTTTGTCCGGACGCTTTCTCGTATTGATCAAGGATACCCTTAACTCTTCTCACTTCCGCCAAAGAATTCTTCACGAACAATAGACTATCATCCGCATAAAACAAATGGGTAACCCTCGGTCCTCTCATGCTGGCTCTAATGCCCTTAATCTCGTTTCGCCTTTGAGCCTTGAGGAGCAAAGCTAATAGACCCTGAGCACAAAACAAAAACAAATAGGGCGATAAAGGATCTCCTTGACGGAGACCTCTCTGAGGAACAAAAGCATCAGATAACACACCATTGATACGAATTTGGAAAGACACAGTGGAAACACATTTGCGGATGAGATTAACAAAGGAATTACAAAAACCCAATATGGTCATAACATTCAATAGAAAATCCCATTCCACCCTATCATAAGCTTTTTCCATATCTAACTTTAAAGCAGCACCCTTGTTAGGACCATTTTTAGAACGTTTAAGATAATGAAAAATTTCATGTGCCACAAGGAAATTATCCGAGATACTACGACCCGGGACGAAAGCACATTGATTCTCAGAGACACAGGCATTCATCAACGGTTTAAGACGATTAACAATAACTTTTGACACAACTTTGTAGATGACCGAGCAAAGGCTAATCGGTCTAAAATGCTTCATTAATTTCGGACTATCAACCTTAGGAATAAGAACAACAATGGTACGATTCACATAATCAAAATCCATCATACCATTCAAAAGGCTAAGACAAAGATTCACAAAATCACATCCTACAATATTCCAGAAAGATCGAAAGAATTGACCTGGAAGTCCATCAAACCCGGGAGCTTTCGAAGGGTTAACTTGGGAAAAGGCAATGGTAACCTCCTCAGCAGAGAATTCTCGACAAATCATCTCGTTATCACATGGTTCAATACATTGTTCAATGGCTTGGAAGATCTCCTTATCAGGGTTCGCAGCAGATGAACGAAAGAGAGAGGTAAAATAGCTCGAAGCAATCCCAAAGATATCTTCCAACCTATCACACCAAACCCCTCATTCATTCTCCAATCCCTCAATCCAATTCTTTTTCCGACGCCCATTAGCTCTCGTATGGAAAAAAGAAGAATTGCGATCACCATCCTTAAGCCACGCCACACGCGATCTTTGCAACCAAAACATTTCATCTTTATCTAACACATCCTTCAGCTCAGCCATAACATTCCTCCGAAGATCGCACATCTCTTCATTGAACGGTCCAGAATCTATCTTGAGAAAAGCTCCTCTTAACCGCTTCTCTTCCCTCTTAGCTTTAGATCTTCTCATCCTTTGCCAATCACCCAACGTATTCCCCAACTTTCCCACTTTGGTCTCAAAAGAGTCATCCCCATTCCCCCAAGCCCGTTGCACAATATTCCTGCATTTCTCTTCATCAGCCCAACAAGCATCAAACTTAAAGTAATCCCTCCTAGCCGAACGCATCACCGCAACTCCCTCCAAACTTAAAACAATAGCCGAATGATCCGAGGAAGCCATCGGAACCGTATCAACTCTAGCCTCCGGAAAAAGAAATCTCCAATCATTCTTCGCAACATATCTATCAATTCTTTCACACACGAACGATCTGGCTCGAGTTCCACTGGCCCAAGTAAACCACCCAGTCCTTGGACGAATATCCCACACCTCGACCTCCCGAAAACACTGCTTGAACTCCTCCATTTGACTCCTTATAGGATTCCTCCCTCCACTCTTTTCGTTCACATGGATAACTTCATTAAAATCACCTCCAACACACCAAGGAAGAGAAGAAATGGAAGCCAAATGTGAAAGCATCTCCCAATTAAGCCTTTTGTTCGTCCATTCGCTTTGCCCGTAAAAACCCGTAAACCGGAATTTCTTATCCTTCCAAACCACCTCCACATCAATATGAATATTTGAGAAACTCTGGAGCGTGACCTCAAAACCCTCCTTCCACAGCATCATCAACCCCACACATCGTTCCAATTTTTCAACTTCAAAACACCCACCCATCTTTGTAGCCACTCTGATAGCCTCCGTTTTATTCTTCCGTAATTTCGTTTCAGAAACAAAAACCAACATTGGGTCCTTATCAGAGATCAATCTCCTAAGTTCTCGAACTGTCGCTGGGTTCCCAAGCCCCCGACAGTTCCAACAAAATAGCGTCATGGTTCCTGGCGGGGCTGAATCTCAGCCTCCGCCAATAACTGAACATCCCCAGCACCATCCTCCGGTATTTCGCTTGGATCTTCCTCCTCGCTCGTACCCACCTTAGAGTTCAAAGTTGATTCCGAAATGTGCACCACTTTTTGATTGACTCTCTTCACTTTTCTTTTTCCTTTACTCGTATCCCCGATCTTCCTCTTCCCCGAGCTGGATGATCCAACTTCTGCCCTAACGCTCTCCACCCGGTAATCCTGAAGTTCCTCAATCAATTCTCGGTTACAGCGGACAAACAAATCAGGAAACGTCCTAGGAAGAGAACTATCCGTCCCTGTAGGATCCGAAGGGTCTGAATCTTCTTGATTATTGCTTGACGAAATTAACAAATCACGTCCTGGCATCCACGGTCTACCTCGGGGAGTCCTAGTTCCCCTATCCGGACTAGGAGTGTTAGCCGAACTTGTCAAGGTCCTTCCATTAATATCCCTCTCAGCATAAACAATCCCTTCTTTCCTTCTTGAACTACTCTCATCCGGTCTCTTAATAGGAGATACTCTAAGCCATTCCCCAAATTGAAGTAGCTGCTGTAGTTGATCCGAAAACCCCGGACACTCCGTGAACACATGTCCAATGATCCCGCACTTATGACAAAAGGAAGGCAGCCTCTCATATTTTAGAAGACACTTCCTCGAATCTCCATTAGCAAACACGCCCATTTTGACACATCTTCTCAATGGTTTAAAACAATCAATCTCAACTCTCACTCGAAGAAAATCCCCCATTCTTCCATCACCTGGTCTAGTATCGGTAGCAATAATCTTTCCAATACTATTTCATATCTTTTCAACAGTCTCTATTTTCATAAATCCCAAAGGTAATTCATATATTCGCACCCACACCGCTAGTGGCCGGAAATCAAATTCTTCTAGACTTAACTTAGAATCAAAATGAACAATGGCTAAAAGCATACCTTCAAAACTCCATGGAGTACGTTTCATAATGGCAAGCTTATCCGTGATCGTCTTAAACTTGAAGAGGAACATGTTTTCCTTCAAAATACTTGAATCCGAAAGCCTTAAATGACCCAAAATAGATCGAAACACTCGCAACACCGCCTCGCTTTCCACTTTTTTGTAACCGATTATCCTCGCCACAATCCATTTGTCCATTTCCAATTCATCATCCTCAGTAGTCAACCGAGGTGGAGAGATGTCCTCAGACTCCTCCTCCGTAAAAGTTAGATGTTTCATTAACTCCGCAACCTCTTCAGACATCTCCCAATAACAAGACTCAACCGTAAAAGAAAAGCAATGATCAACCGTGAGAGACAAGCAATGTTCACCCTTACTTCCTTTAGATTCAGCAACTAATCCGAAAGTACTTAGTTGAAAGACAACAGACACAATTAAGATTTTTCCTCTCTTAATAATATTCAAACAACACCGACCTCTCTCTTTCCTCCACCCCTTATCCCTCCTTTGCGTCTTACTTTCCTCCACTTGCCTTAGTATCATCCGAAGTGACCAGCTCATCGTAGACATAAGGCCTAAATCAAATAGCCTTTTAAAATATCTTCCTAATAAAATATTCATATCTAATCTATTATTAAAAGAAATATTAAAATAGACACTATTCCAGCAAAAATATCTGTCCGTACTGTGCTCAGCGCCTACAACACTGTAGCCGCCGCCATCTGCCAGCTGTTCTTCCCGGTTCGACCGAGAACTCCCATCCCCTGCAAGCGCTCTGCCACACTCACCGATAGACTGCACCGAGTAGCAAGTGGAATAGCCCATAACCCTTCCGATCCCATCAACCGCTTGCACCGAGACAGAAATAGCTTTTCTCAAGCCATGACTTGACACCTTAATCATCCTTTTCCATATATTTCTATATTGAAAATATCTTCTAACATAACTTAGTTCAATCTCAACCCAAACCGAACTATCTCTCTTAACTCCTTGATTATCATAATCGAACAACCCCAAAACCTTGTTATACATCCGAACAACCCCTGCAGCAATCCAAAATAACTCTCTATACTTTATCGCAACACCCCATCTTTCTTTGGAAGACCTTCTTTGAAACTCTTCTTCGAACTCAATGTCTTTACTAACTTGGATCTTCAACATCAAACACATCTCAAGACCTTTAGTAATCTTCCCATCCCCCATCTTTCTCGATCTTCCATTCCCTTCCCACTTCCTGTACCTCATTCCCCGTCTTCCTCAATCATCACCGTCCCACCTTCCCATTCTAGTAATAACTCTAAATCCTCCTTCCCTCTCTCTTTATCGATCCATCCACTGTTACTAACCATAAGAAGATCCTGCAAATCATAAAACACGATAAGAATCCGATTATGAAAACAAGAAATGCTTTTACCTTCAATTTCTCTAGCTGAAGACGAACACCGAGAATGCCACACGTTCTCAAGATAACAATCAAATCCTAATACCTTGGATTTTGACAACAAAAAACCTAATTTTGAGAAACCATAACCATTTTGAACTCCAAGAAAGGAGTTCTACAACCGGGTGACCATGAGAAACCATGGACGAAACCATGAAACCGACCAAAGACCCACACACGAAGAAGGAAACTAGAGAGAAGGGAGAGCAAATTCTCTCTCTAAAACACTCCGCTGCTTCTACCCGAGAATGTGAGAAGTTGATTGAAGATCAAAAGACTGGATTTTGACATGGGGATCACATGGTGTTGCGAAATAGAAAGTGTTGCAGGAAGCATCAAAGTGGTTCCTTGAACGAAGAATGGGATGATAAACTTGGAGCCTGGAAAGGGCCGCTTCAAGAACTGAGATGTCGGGCTCATTACAGAGGAGGAGGGACAAGACTGTGATGCCAGTGCCGCCAGGCACGGCTCGGCACCAGCTGTACTCGGAGCCACCAGCGGCTCGAACCTGGGGGCGAATTTCCAAAAAAAATATTAATTTTATCTATTTGTTTTTTTTATATTATTTCTAATTTAATTTTAAAATTAATTGTTTAAAAATATTAAAATAAACTTTTAATTATAATTAAGAGATTAAATAAATTATTATTAATTTTTTTAAAAATAAATAAAAATGTAATAAAATTCAATAAAATTCAATAAAAATATAATGTAAAGGTAAAAAATATCACTCTTTATTTAAAATATTCTTTTTAATATTAATTTTAAAAAATATTAAATAAATATTAAATTTTAATTTTATTAAAAATAAATAAACATTATTAACTGTTGTTAAAAATAATAATTAATGATGAGACAAAACAGTTTTTGTGTAGATTGAGAAGAAAAGATCAACTATTTGATCGAATATTTATTCGTGGTACAATTGAGTTGATATTTAGATAGCAATTAGACAATTTTAAGTTATTAACTTTTTAAGATCGAATTTTCATTCGATTCCTGTAGCTTTCCACACCTACGACTGTTTAACAATCATAAACTTGACTAAAATAAACTTTTAATTACAATTGAGAGATTAAATGAATTATTCAATTCATTATTCTTTGATATGTAATTTTTCATTCGATTACTGTAGCTTTCCACACCTAGGGCTGTAAATGAGACGAGACACATCGCGAGCTATTCGAGATCGACTCGATCAAGGCTCGATAAATACTCGGATCGAATGGACTCGACTCGAGTTCTTAACGAGCTGAAACGAGCTACTCGATATTCGACTCGAAAAGCTCATGAGCAGCTCGAAAATATAATATATTAAGATTTTATTTTAAAAAATAAATTAATAATAATATTAATATTTATGTATTGATTTTTTTTTTTAAAAAATACAATAAGATTTCATGTATTTAAGGTTCATGCTCGAGTTTGAGGCTTTAATCGAGTTAAGTTTAAGAATTTTTTTTTCATTTCGAGCCTTTTCGAGCTGCTCACGAGCTTCAGTTCAGGATTTTGAGTTCGAGTCGAGCTTGAAAATTTTAAACTCGCGAGTTTTCGAGTCGAATCGAGTCGAGTTCCATTTTAGAGTTTTCGAGTCGAGTCAAGCTCAGCAATACTCTAGCTCGACTCGGCTCGTTTACACCTCTATCCACACCTATGACTGTTTAACAATCATAAATTTGACTAAAATAAATTTTTAATTACAATTATGAATTATTATTCATTAATTTTTTTAAATAGTTAATAATATTTATTCATTTTTAATAAAATTAAAATTTAATATTTTTTAAAATTAATATTAGAAAGAATATTTTAAATAAAGAGGTGATATTTTTTAGCTTTACATTATATTTTTATTAAATTTAATTCATTTTTATTACATTTTTATTTATTTTTAAAAAAGTGAATAATAATTAATTTGATCTCTCAATTATAATTAAAAATTTATTTTAATATTTTTAAATAATTAATTTTAAAAGTCAATAAATATTATTAAATGTGGTTAAAAATAATATCACAAAAAAATAAATATATAAAGTTGACGTTTTTAGATAAATATTACCTTAACAAAAATTAATTACATATTAGACGTCACTTTAAAAATATTTATAAAATTAACACCCTGATTTTTTACACATTCAACAAGGCGCACTGCAGTGACGCCTTATCTCATGTGACGTCAGATCAACTTAAAACACGGTGCAAGAAGCACGTCTTTCTATAAAAATATTAGATCAAAAAATATAATATGAATGATACATTCTAGAGAAATATATAGGTGTAAGTTGATTTTTGGAAAAAATCGCCCGGGTCTTCGATTTTGGTTTGGGGATCGGCAGATTCTGACATTTTAGTCGACGAAATCGAGGAGTGAAAATTTGAGGGAACGAATGGATGAGACCGGTGAAGACCGGAGTGAAAACTGCTAACTGAAAAACAAAATAAAAATACCAGGGTTTTACGTAAAAGTATCAAACAATGTTCCGTTTTTACCAAAATATCACCTTTGAAAAATGGGGTAAATTACATAAGCGGTCCTCTTACTATAGAATATTATTTTATTGAGTCCTCAACTAGTACTAAAAGTTATAAAATGGTCATCTGTCTATATGACATTAATTTGTTGAGTCATCCGACTATTAAAAGTTACAAAATGGTCTCCCGACTATTAATGTGTTTGAAACTCATATTTTTATGTTAAAAAATTGACGGTCGTCTAAGATGAATGTTAACATGTTAATTGGGATATGATAAAATTTGATATTATAATAGTTAAAGATGTATTTTGTGGATCGACTCTCCGTTTATATTATGTCGTTGAGCCATGTTTGGAAGCAATGTTAACGCTAATATACATCATTAAAATATAAGCTTACCATATAATAATCAATAGCTTAACGTCCAGCTCACACAACCATCAATTTTTTAATATAAAATGATGAATTTAGAACGTATGAATAGTCAAATAACTATTTTGTAACTTTTAATAGCCGAGAAACTCAACAAAACAACGCATTATAGTTGGGAGACAATTTTATAATTTTTAATAGTTGAGATACTCAACAAAACGACATCCTATAGTCGGATGACCATTTGTATACTTTACCCTAAAAATTAATTTCCTAAATTGACTTTTATTTTTCTTATTAATGTTCGGAATTACATTCTTTTCTAACATATATCATAAAGATCATTTTGACATCCTCATCCTTGAAAAAGTATATTTTACGTGTGTTTTGCGGGACACGTTTTTATTACACTATAGATTCAATCAACAGACTTTAAAACAACATTTACGTGAAATACGCAATCGAAAAATTACGTGTTTTAAAGATTTTAAATTTTAAAAAGATAAGGGAGACGGAAAAATGTTTCCTCTCGCTCGTCTTTCTTCTCCACTCACTCCTATAAAAGAAAATTATTTCCTCACTCTAAAACGTGAAGTGAATGAAAGAAAAAAAATCTATTATTATTATTCTATTAAAAAATAACGGAGCAATCTGAATTTCGATATATAATATTTTAAATAATATTTAATTTAAAATAATTATTTTATTTTTAATGATTATTTTATGTTTCATTATTTATATATTTTATATTTTACTATAATTATTATATTTTAAATAGTATAAGGCGATTATAAAATTGTATATGTTCAGACGTAACTACTCAAACCAATGATATATTGATATTTAAGGAGAATAATATTTTCTTTTATCATTGTAATCAGTTGACGACTACTTTTATATAATTATTTTATTCTATATTACAGTTTAATCTTATATTTAATTAATATTCTATATGTAACATATTTTTGTAAAGTTAATATATTTTTATTATTTTTAAATAACTATTGTATTTTATTTCTCTTGTTATAATTAAATAACTATAAAATATTTTGTGTAGTTAATATATTTTCTGTATAGAAATTTATTTTTATTCTAAGAATAATGATTATATTTGTAATAATACTTATGTTAATATATTGTAGTTGAAAATAGAAATGTTTAGATTGGATGTGGATCATATTTTACTCCTAATCATATATGATAAGAAAGTTAATTTTATTATTAATTATTATTTAATTAACATTATCTTCTTACGAAACTATTTATATATTTATTCTGAAAAAAACGAGGAGGATTATATTTTTAATCTATCTATTTACAATTTGAATACAATCTTGATAAGTTGTATTAAGGGATACGTAAGTCAAGTCGATTTTGAGTACATTTCTTAAATACTTAGAGATTAAAAACTACAATTAATATTTATTTTTGCATACATTGAGAGACGAAGGTTATACACATCTTTCATCTTTCGTGTAAAATTGTCAATAGTACATAATCACTTTAGAGCAGAAATGAACCTAGAGTGGGTATGTGGGGGCGGTCGTCCCTCCTAAAAGTTTTAAATTTTTTTATATTTTAGATATTTTTTTATTGAAAATATGTTTTTACTCCACCTAAAATTTTATAAGTTCTTCCATACTTAAAATTTTATAAGTTCATCCATCTTAACATGAAATCTTGTGTTTGTCCCTACTTTGGAGGATGTTCCACTCTAAATAGATCTCTCGATCAATGATGTGTTGTGACCAATATGAGTACTAGTAATTGGGTTGGTATGTGCCACAACTTAAGAGATCCCATACGAATATAATAGTGGTGGAATTTCACTAACGTGGCTCCAACAAAACTTTGACGAGTTAGACGAAAGTTGTTTAGAAGAGAACGTGAAGACATTTGCACCTGTTTGTTTTTTGTCAATTATGGGAATTTCGATGCTTGATAAATCTTGCGACTAATAGATTTCTAAGAAGAATACACCTTGAGTTATAGATCAATATTTTTGGCATTTCTTTTAGAAAATTATACAAGACAATCGATCCAAAAAATGATATCGACAGATGTCAATCATTTTTGCAGTTATATGTATCGTATTGCATGTTTTTTCTATGTCCACTTGTTAACGAGTCATTCGTTTTTTCTCTCGTGATTAGGTATTTTCATTTCTTTTTTAATGAGTAAATAAGTCAAATAATATTATAATTTCAACGTGTTAATATAAATATTAGTGTCTCTTGAAATAGATGGTCAAGAAATTTAGATAATCGCAATATTCTGAACAAGTTTCGAGATATTATGTTACTAATCGTACAAAAAACATGGGTAGAGTACATGTTAATAACTAGAATTTTCATATTACAATCGTGATAATAAAAAAGTTATTTATAAGTTTGTGTTTGGTAATAAATATATATATTTTTATTTTAGAGTATGAATGGACGTCCTATTAAAATGATGAATTGAAGGATTGTATCTCATTCAAGTTGAGTGTTCTATTGCACGAATGACAAGTTATTGTACCTCTTGTTTGTTATGTAACTATTTAACCGTATTTGAGTGGTCGTGTTATACATGTAAATGAATCGAACATTTAGCGAACTGTTCATGAACCGTAAAGTTAGGTACCAAATTTTGGGCTTTGTGG